ATAACTGACCAATCAGAGGCGCCATTTAAACAAAAGCGGAGGTTCAAAACAAAGACAAACGACCGCGTTGCATCAAGGTTGGAAATGAGCTTTTAAGAAGGTGAAAATTTTTCTATGCATTCACTGCTTTCAGAAATTTAAGTTGATCTTTAAACTCAGTATAGTTACGAATTGAGACCTCATCAATTTCAGTACATAGAAATCTTTTCCAAGAGGTGGGACCAAAGTTTAATAATTAATGAACCAATGTTAAATTTTCCGTTAAAACCGGCTTGAAACACTGCATCTATGGACTTCACTCGACTGTTAAATGCAACTTTTAGGGTTTGGAATTCTAGACAGATCTTTAAGTCCAAAGTAACCCTAGAATTTTGAATTTTTTTTTCGGATGGGATTTGAGGATATCATTTGTCGAGCTAGACCGGTGTAAGAACCATTTTCAATAAATCTTGTCTTATTGAGGGCACCCCACATCTATTCGATGAAATCAAACTCTTATTAGCTAAGATCAATTACAGCCGAAGATTAAGTTATTACAGCAGACATCCTTTAGGACATTGACTTAATTACCTATGTACAAATAGGAAAGACGATTGTGAAACACAACTTAAAATACGTGCTGACACAGGACGAAATCACATGTTTCCGTATTTCTGAAACGTGGCGGAAACATGCAACTCCATATTTCCGTTATGTTTACGTCTTACGTCTACGTAAACGTTGTATACGCAGCAACGGAAACGCGAGAAAACGTCACGAAACCGGTAACGGAAACACAGGTTATCCTTCGTGTTTCCAGAACGGTTTAACATGTTTCTGCCACGTTTCCGTTTACGGATTCTTGCAATTTCGTCCTGTGTGACCTGTCACGAGGAGTACACGATTTAAATGCAAGCAAACATATAAATGTGACGTTCGCCTGTTCTGTTAGCTTAACTAATGACTACCTTGGGGCGCTAGGTGACATTTGATACAGGTGTTCCGAGGTCTGTCAGGGTTTTAATGAAAAGAAACTTTATATCTTGATTATTACAGATGAGGAAGTATCTCCATTTCCAAGAGAGTGATTGCCTATTCGATCACGTATGACAACGCGCTTACACGCTGACAAAACAAAAGTACTTAAAAAGCGGCGATCACACCAGCTATGGGTACCAAATACCCTCAAATCATTAAACACGATTGACTGAATTATTCTGCCGACGTAAAAAAATCGTCCATACGCTACTAAAGAACGCCGACCAACATCACGGCAAGCATCATATGATGGCAGATGATTTAACCAAACCATAATGGCCAGCAGTTCTGGAAATATAGACCAAGTGGTGAAGCTAAGTCAAGCTATCAGCAAAACTACAACAGGCGTAGTAGAATTTTTCTCAGGTCTGAACATTTTTCTTGCCTTCACGGCATTTCTTGGCAATGTTCTCATCTTCTTCGCTCTCCGGCGAGTGACTTCTATTCATCCGCCGACAAAACTCCTCTTTCAGTGCTTAGCGGTGACTGATCTTTGCGTCGGTTTTATTGTACAACCACTATTCTGCGTCTACTTTATGCTCCATGTAAGAGAGATGAACGTGAATAGTCTATATTATATTTTTAAAGTTGGCGGAGGTTTAACATACATTTTATGTGGGGTATCTGTTTTGACGTCAACTGCAATCAATGTGGACAGACTTCTTGCCTTGATGCTGGGTATGCGATACAAACATGTCGTAACCTTCAATCGAATTCGTTATGTTGTCATTTCTTTTTGGTTTACTGGTGCTCTATTTGTAGCGCTCTGGGTTTGGAGAAGAGACGTTGGACAAAAGTTATCCTCTACTTTCATTCTGCTGTCTCTGATTACTTCAATTTCCTCTTTTGTCAAGATATACCTTAGGTTACGACAGCATCAAACCCAAATACAAAACAACTTCCCCCAAGGACGTCTTAGCGAATTAGGGAATCAGCTGAACATAGCAAGGTACAAAAAAACGGTGTCCAGCATTTTGTGGGTGCAGTTTGCTTTACTTGTGTGTTATGTTCCTTATGGAATATTAGCTGGAACAAAAATGCTTGACAGTGTGGTGCCAAAGATGGCTACAGAGACTATGATTTTCATGAACTCATCTCTAAACCCGGTCCTGTACTGTTGGAAGATCGGAGAGGTGAGAAAAAAAGTAAAGGAAATTATTGGACAGTTGTGGTGTTGTTAAAATATCATTATATTGTTGTAAATTACAGGCTGCCCCAAGACAAGAAAACCTTTTTACAAGGCTATTGAATTGTCTAGTGGAGAAAATATTATTTGAACAAACTCTGTCAACGTAACAGTACGTGTTGCTATCATTAATTTAAGACAGTTAAGATGACGGTTACACCATTTTTTCCAATAACCCTGTCGAAAAAAAAGTAGATAATCACTAGTTCTCGAACTTTGTCATATCTTAAATAGCTAAATATTTTCTCTTTCATGTATAAACAGCTGAAAGCACGGAGCAATCAGTTTTCCGCAAAGATAATTTCTATTTTAAGGACCAGCTATTATCGCCCGAGAGGGGGGACTGGGGAACGGGGTAACGGGGGATGTTGGGGGGGGGATCACATGGTCTTAAGGGGGAGTGGAAGGGGGATCAGTCGTCGCCAACAGAGTATAAGTGGAGGACTATGGAAAATTGACTGCCAATTAACTGTCAGTTAACTGCCTCACAGGGGGATCATAAGTATATTACAGCCAAAATCCACCGAGCTCCCCCACCCCTCCCCCGATAAACAACGACCCTAAGTATAGAAATTCAGTTATCTCGACGAACTGAAATTTAAGGCAGCAACCAAAATCTCTTGTATATCTAAAAGAAAAATTCTATCGGTAAAAAAAAATTGTCTGTTCGAAATTGTAGACTGGCTGGAGCTCAAGTAATGGCTCCTGAAATTGGTAAACAGCCACTAATCGTCCCCTCTCTACTAAGCACCCCTTCTTTCGAATTTTTTTTTAATAAGGGTCCCTATTCTGGTAAGTGCCCCTACAGAGTAAGCACCCTCATTCCAATAAGCGCCCCTCCTGAGTAAGCGCCCCTATTCCAATAACACTCCTATTTTGCATCAGTTAGGGAACATGTACATTGAGATAAACTATGATCCATCTTCATTTGATTGCTCACTTTAAACCTCAAGGAGAAAAGTGGTCTTTGTCTCAGTCTCTCAACTTTTATGTCGCCGTGAGTGCACATTTCCTTGAATCGAAGGACCCTGTCTTAAAATTTTGCGAGGAAGGATCCAGGGACAAGTCTGTTTTCCAGTCTTTTTGATCCTCAGTCAAATATACATCGATACTTTGTTTCACATTCTTCTTTTTCTTTAAAAGAAATAAGCATCCTGTCCCTAATAGGCGCCCGGTTTCAAATAAGCACCCTCCCTTGAGGTACCAAAAGTAAATAGGCTCCCCGGGCGCGTTAAATCGAATAATTACGATTCTCAAGAGAAAGATGCCTGAATGTTGAATAATTGACACTCAACCAATAATTTATTGGTAACAAATAATAATATGAACAATGATAAATAAAAATAATAATAGTAATGATAACTAGTAGGGGGCTAGTTCAAGAACCTCAGTGTTCCACTATCGGTCTATCTTCAATAATGATTAAACTATGCTTCTGTTCTATGATTAAACTGTGCTTCCACTTTTGTGAGACTTTTGTTTCATACAACATGGCAATCCGCCATTCCGCCATTCCGCCATTCCGTCATTCCTCCATTCCATCATTCCTCCATTCCATTATTCCTCCATTCCACCATTCTACCATTCTACCATTCCACTATTCTACTAATCCACCATTCTATCATTGTACAATTCTACCATTCTACCATTCCACTATTCCATCATTCCATCATTCCATCATTCCTCCATTCTGTCATTCCACCATTCCACCATTCTACCATTCCACCATTCTACCATTCCACCATTCTACCATTCCACCATTCTACCATTCCACCATTCCACCATTCCACCATTCCACCATTCCACCATTCTACCATTCCACCATTCTACCATTCCACCATTCTACCATTCCACCATTCCACCATTCCACCATTCCTCGATTTCTCTATTCTACCATTTCCCCATTCAACCATTTCCCCATTCAACCATTTCCCCATTCAACCATTTCCCCATTCCACCATTCCGTTTCCCTTTTCCATCATTTCTCTCCATTTCTCCATTTCTCTCCATTTCTCCATTTCTCCATTTCTCAATTCCATAATTTCTCTATTCCACCATTCCTCGGTTTCTCCATTTCTCTCCATTTCTCCATTTCTCTCCATTTCTCCATTTCTCTATTTCTCCATTCCATCATTTCTCCATTTCTTCATTTCTCCATTTCTCCATTTCTCCATTTCTCCATTTCTCCATTTCTCCATTTCTCCATTTCTCCATTTCTCCATTTCTCCATTTCTCCATTTCTCCATTTCACCATTTCTCCATTTCTCCATTTCTCCATTTCTCCATTTCTCCATTTCTCCATTTCTCCATTCCTCCATTCCACCAATTTTCCATTCGACTATTTCTCCATTCTACCAATTCTCCATTCCACCAATTTTCTATTCCACCACTTTTCCATTCCACCACTTTTCAATTCCACTAATTTCTCATTCCACCAATTTTCTATTCCACCACTTTTACATTCCACCACTTTTCAATTCCACCAATTTTCCATTCCACCAATTTTCCATTCCATCAATTTTCCATTCCATCAATTTTCCATTCCCCCAATTTTCTATTCCACCATTCTACCATTCCATTACTCCGGTGAATAGGGTCACCCAGTCAAAATTCGGACCGTCGTTGCTCTTTTGAGCATTAGTTGCTGTTTGAAATGGTAAAATTCTGTCTCTTCGAATAAATAATATTTTTCTTGAAATTTTTACGATGTGTAGGGCTGTCTAGGCTGCCGCGCCTGGGTGACCTGTGGATACAGCTATGTCTTCAGGGGTAGGTTGAGTACAATTTACGGAAGCCCAGGCACAGGCTGGTGAGGCTCAATTTGTCAACAACCGCCAATATGGCGGCTGTGACGGCTAGCCGTCCTAGTAAGGGAAGGTCAAAGCGTGTTGCTACGGCATGTGCTTTCCTTTCGAATATTTCACTGGATGGAAATATTACAAAGGAAGCAGCTGAACGGAAAAAAGAAAAGGCTAGTCCCAAAGAAAGCAATGAACACGATCGTAGAGACACTGGCCTCTCGCTAGAAGCGACAAGAAGGACACGGAATAAACTGCTGCACTCTGTATCTGAACCCTCGACCTCCAGTGGAGAATCTTTTGAGGACAGCTCCAAACGATCAATACACAGACAACGTAGTGTTACGGAGGCTATTCATGAGAGAAAATGTCAGGAGAGCTCCGTAATGGTACGAAGGAGTGTTTCAATGTCTGAATCGTCCTACGACCCTTCGACTACGAGTGTTAGTTTCCAACGTACGAAGAATCGGATTTCGTGTTTGGCGGGATCTTCTTTCCACCACAAGAGACGAGCAAATGACAAGAGGTGAGAGCAAATTCACTTTTACAAATATCAAGCGATTTTTCAAATCATGTCGTCCCCTTATAACAAGCTATAGTGTCACAAAAAAATTAAGATTTAATGAAGTGTTCTTGATCATAAATTATTTAATCAAAGAGTCTTCTATCAAATTATTATTGCATAATTTTACTTTTGTCAATTAAGATGAAGCTGAGTTCCACACTGAATCTTTACAACGTTGTCCAAAGAATCTGCCTTGTTTTGATTTATTGAAATGTCTGTAGATCTATATGAAAAAAATCCGCTAAGCTACACAGTACTCTGCAACTTAATCAAATATAGTTAAATATATTTATTTGGAACCAAGGAATTTTTGTTCTCATCCACTCTGGTTAAACTGCGTCATGTGGTATGGGGCTGGCAGATTGCAGGCAATATTGTTGATATTTCTTATGTGATGCAGGATTTTCAGATAAAACTCTAGTAGCATGAGAATACTGTCAACTGAATATACTCCATGTCTGAATTAAAAAGTTCTTGGGTAATCAAAAGGCATTCCTAGACTTGGCATAGCATATGGGAAATTTTGCAGTCTTGGATGCTTAAGGAATGTTGTATTGATTTGATATTTGTCCAATCTTAGTTACACATTTTGGCAACAAAAATAAAAAAGCAAAGCAATATAAGAAGGTGGAGGTCAACATAGAGTTAAAATCAAAGCTAGGAAAAGGAGTAATGCAACTAGTCAAGAAATAGATTTACAATCTGCTTTTGTTTCTCGTTGTTGGTTTGAAATCCCTTTTAAAGCTGCATACAAAATATACTGAATAAAAATAACATTTTGATAATAAAAGGAGGGTTATGAAACAAATAATTCCTTTTAACTAGCTCTATATTGGACTGAATAATGCTCTGTCCTGAAATGTTTTCCTGAGTGTTATGTCCATCCCGAAGTAATTGGGGAATTGAAATTAGGGTTAGAGAAGATTAAGGAATTGTAAGTTGTACAAACTATAATCTAATGGAAAAACCACACAATCCATCAGTGTCTCTAGTCTCAGAAATTTGAAACATGTCACATTTCTTGCCGTCATCTTGTATTATTGCAATTATTTTGAAACTAAGCTGTGGTCCATTTTGATAAAAAGCTCTGTAATAATTTTCTTAATCTTTTTCATTGTTCATTGCACAGTTTCTTTGGTCATCTTGGATAACTCATGTACAACTTTTTGCTTTGACCAATATTGTTGAACTAGTACTGTAAAGGACAAAAGGTTGACTTCCAATTTCCCACAAATTTTTGCAGTCCTATGGAAAGAGATTTGTCTTAAAAAGTTGTAGTATCATGGTTCAGAAATTTGACTGTGCAAGCTACAGCCATCTGGGATCTATTGCAACCTTTATGGTGGTCTCAAAGATTTTACTGCACAATCTCTACCTTTTTTCATTTGATTTCATTGTTTCTGTTGAAAATTTCTCCAATGAAATGTCTGAAAAGAATCTCACTCTTAGGAAATGCTATGATGCTGTGGTCACGTGGTAAACCATGACTGTAAATTACCCAAGCAAGAATGCTGAATTTTGAAATTCAGTTAATTTTTATTCCATTATTTGAACAAAGAGACACATAATGAATTCAGTTAGAAAATCATCAATCCACATCTGTGAATTTATAGGCAACACGCTGGACATAACTGATACATATTTGTTATGGTCACATCCCATTAGGTGCCAATACAAACAAGGAAAAGACAAAAGATACAAAACTTGCATTCAATAAGGTACTCTGAGTTGAAATTTTATTTCAGCACTGACTAATAATTGGCATGTCATTTGTTTACAGAATAGTCTTGTGTTCTTCTCAAAAGGCTCCACTGGCCACCTACTCTGTCCTGAAATATCATAAGGAAAACCAAGAAGCAGGCCAGGAAGGAATGAGGTGAGACCAAAGAATCAGAGTGATTGGCATCTACAATGAGTCATTTTGTTTGGTTTATTTTACACTCTTCCATTTCTGTAGATAATAAAGTAAATGAAAAAATTACAAGCTTCTGAGTGGCTGAAAACAAGTGCATTCTCATGTAACAAAAGTGCAAAGTTGTAAAACCAGTGCAAAGGTGTAACATGGGTGCAAATTACAAATAGTGTGCACATGCTTTCACAATTTTGTCTGTCTTGACTTTCTGTGATGTTTTTTCTTGTACTTTATCAAAAAGTAATTACATGATTTCTCTTGCAATTTTATGTAACAAGCACTTGTAAATTTATCAAATACTACAAATTGTACTTGCCCTCCAGGCTTGTGCAATTTTGTTGTCTTTGAAAAATTCACTCGTGCTTGTTAACACCAGATTGCACTTGAAATCATGTTATTACCTAATACTAATTATACGATTCTGTAAGCAATCTAGAATGAATAAGCCATTTGAATTTTTCCAAGCTTAACTTTCTGCAATTGCTAAAATTGCACTTCACCTGCAAGAATCATTATCTTGTTTAAACCTTTAACTCCTAAGATCTCATTAGTGATTCTCCTTACTGTCTGCCATACAGTTCTTGTGATGTTAGTTTAGAGAATTTGATATTGGATCAACTTATAATCCTTTAATTGATTTTTTTTCTCATCACTTGTCTGCTTGATATTGTATTGATATTGTAAGGAGAAATTCTGTCTTGGTCACTCATGGGAGTTAAAGGGTCAATCATCTCTCTACCATGTATGAATTGGCTTGAGGTTGTGGTATTAATAGAAAGGATTAAATGATTTCCCATTCCTTTTTTGTAGTGTCAAGAAGATATCCATAGCTACACCCAGCCAGTCTGCTGGTATTGAAGGGGTTCAACTTGGAACAATTGACAAGGTACACAAGTCATTTAGTTTTAGTGATAAATGGAAACAAGTACTAACTGGGTTGGCAGTGACAGTAGAGGTGAGAAGTTTATTATAGTAACTGTAATCTGAAGTATGTGAACTAAATATCTTTTCATTTAAATTTGTTCCTTTTAGCCAGTATCATACAGATCATTTCTGATATCAACGTATCCCTTGGCTTGGAATGAAGCTGTTTCCAACAAAGGATCTCCATCTGTACCTTTACCAATGGATAATGGAGGACTTGTTTCAGGTAAATTAATGTTAACTTTCTGAGACTTTTATTATTAAAGATCCATAGCTAGAATTTCATCACATCAAGGGAAGTGTAATAGGCAGCTGTTCCCAGAAAATAGGTTATAAGGGCTTTTTTTCATCGAAACCTGTGTTACATGAAATGATAATATTCAGGACTTGTTTATCAAAGTAATGATGTAGGTGTTCAGTTTTGAAAATGTTGTGAAAATTTTCTGATTCTTTGTATCCTTCAGAGAATGTTGAGGGAACATTGCCACCACCCAGTTGGTATGATCCTCTTCTTCTTGATAATCCTGAACTGAAATCAGGTCGGCACAGAAAGGTTCTCAACTTGACTTCATACTTGGTAAGTATAATTTATATGGAAATTAGGAAGTATTTCTAAATCAGTAATTCTTTAACATCTTTCAACAGCTCACTATCTACCACTGCTGCTTTTTCATGCTCTAGATTACTGTCCTCATTTGTGGCAAAGTGTCACTAAAAATACAAATTTCATGGGGGTGTATCTCCTTCCCCCCTTACCACACCAATGTTTCACCAGATATCATAAAACTGAAATGGCAAAGTATTTTCCTGTAAAAAAAGGAAGGGAAGATATAAATATCAAATGAATATGCTTTTCAGGTATCCATGGTGGCATATGCAAAGCCTTCTGAGCTGAAAAAAGACCTGAATGAACAATTCAGAGAAAAGTTTCCAAATCTCAACATTACCCTCACAAAATTAAGAAGGTAACAAGATTGTTTCCATTTTAACGAGTAGATTGTGAGCTTGAGATTTCTATCATGTGTTATATAATAAGCTGAATTAAACATACATTTCAATTGGTTCCTATCCTTGATCTATTGAAGGACAGACACCCAGATAATCTCATCACTGACAAAATTTTCTTCTTGATTACAAAAATCAAAGATTCCTCATTGTTGTGGGTCTGTTCAATGATAGATCACAGAAGGTGTCAAGTTGTGGTGAGAACATCAGGGACACACTTGGCTGTACCTCATGTGCCACTTTTTTGTTGTGACCACATTTTGATGTCACCTGTGATCTGTAAAAGAAAAGACATACCACAACATAGAATCCATTTGTAAAACAGTTACTGAGGACTATGGTCACATTGTGAATGTTTAAATAGCAGAATGCAGTCAATTGTTGATTGCAGATGCTGTTTAGCTGAAGGTAGTTTGAGAATCTTAAAAGTTCCTAACTATGATACTTTTTATTTTTTTCAGCTTAAAGAGAGATATTATAAAAATAGCATTATCACAAGTAAGTTTGCCCAAGACTCAGAATTACCTTACAAGTCAAGTGCTGTGCAAATTTTTCATGTGTTGTTTGGGATAATCTGACACAGTTTAATTGTTGTTATTTTTTTCCTTCATTGCTTTAGTTCCATGTTAAGTTAATATTTGTATGACATGACACAGAAAGCTATGGGGTGTACAATCTACATTTTGCTTATACTGTCTTCAGTAATCTGTTCGTGTGAAGTAGATGCTGGAAGGGTTATGTTAATATTATAATTGATAATAATACCTTAATGTCTTTGCTTCTCAGGATTGCCTGCTTGATCCAACGACAGTGGGTTATGCATTTGTCTATTTTGAAAAACTTATTTTGAAGGTAAAATTTCATTTTTTGCTCAGGGAATTTTGGCTCAACCCTTTAACCCCTAAGAGTGACTAGCATGTAATTTCTCCTTACAATATCACCCCTGAATCAAATGTTAAAGTCGTGAGAAGAAAGGAAATGATCACCAACTTAAGAGGCTGTTTAATGTTGAACAAATTCTCTTTCTCAGCACTGCAGGAATAGAACTAAACACTAAGGGATATATTGAACTAAAAACTTAGGGATCATACCAAACTTCTTTTGTGTTGTGTAACTGTTAAAATAACATGTACAATAACAATAACATGCAACATACAGTAGCAACATACATGGTAGAGCATTGAAGTAGCCAGCAGTATGCAGGACGTGTGTCATATATGAACTTCATAATGGGCTTTGCTCACCATAGAGTTTCTGTGGTTCGATTCCTCATGGTGACTTGAAATTTTTTCTTTGTCCCACACTTGTGACAAGGCGAAAAATATCTTTCTTTATATTGAGAACATGTTACTTATTTCTATGCTAACCACATGAATAGAAATTTGCAGTGATTATTATGTTGTTGAAATTGATCCAATAAACCCCTGCCTTAGGTGGGAAGGTGTGATGAGTAGGCAATGCCAGTCCTGGTCATATGTTCTGGGATTAGCCTGCTGTGTCGGTGCATTTTACTGTAACCATGTGCTAAATATTTGTGACTTACAGTGTATGCACATTTTTGAACACAATATATTTTTTTACAGGAAAAGATTACTAAGGCAAACAGAAAGCTTCTGGCAGGTAGGCAATCTTTTTCTTCTTCTTTTTCTATAAATTGATTCTCTGACTTTATTATACATGTAAATAGCTTTTATATTTTTAGAACTGAGTGTGTCTGGAAGCTTAACTTGGAATGTGAAGAGGAGATAATTTTTCTTTTGTCTGTCAGTAGTTGGGTTTATGAAACCATCCTAATTTCAAATTTTTATTTTTAGGTTCCTGCTTGTTATTGGCTGCAAAATTTAATGGTGATATGAAAAGAGAGAAAATCAAAGAGGTCATTGAGGTATGATACCACAGCTACTTTGTTATAATGCATCTTTTTAGGATTTGAATGGAAATAATCATGTTGGTATCCAGTTGTCATTACGGTGAATTTCAACCATGAAATCATTCCATGCAATCAGTTTGAAACTTCTGCAGCAAACATCCATCATATCATCCAAATCATGACAATTTACAATTTTTCCATTGAAGCTGATGAACAGCAACAGCTCTTTTCAGGAATAACATCATCTAGGGGATCACACTTCAGAATATATGTACTAGAGAAATTTTCAATGGACTGTTGAAAATAATCTGAGACTGCATTGCAGTTGTTTACTTTGCTTTGTGATTGGTCTAGAAAACCCACACCATTCTCTCAACCAATCAGATGCTAACCTTTAGGCAGTTTGGATGTGTTTACTTTGAGTTCTCATCTGCTCTTAGAGGGATTTGCCTTTCTTCTGATCAGCTGTGGTAATTACTAGAGCAGAAATCAGACATAGTCAGTCATCATCAAAGTGATTGTCAGAGTAAAATTTTTTTTTCATCTTGTAGGCCATAGAGGATAGGCTTCGAATATCAGCAAAAGAGCTCATTAGATTTGAATTCCAAGTTGTTATTGCTCTGGAGTTTGATTTACACATTCCACAGTGGGAGATCTTACCACATGTCAAACGAATGGAAACAGAATAACTTCATAAAAATCCGTTCATAAATAATGTCACCACCCGTTCTTAATTCAAGCAACAAAATTGTTCAGGAATACAATGTTAAATGTTGGGTTTTAGAAAGTATTGTTGCTTGAGAAACACAAGGTTTGTACAGGTCATGAAAGGACATGAAAAATTTAGAGTTATCCAATCATCTGTCATTTTTTCCATGATAATATTTTTTATGTTTTTTCATTACTGTAGTGCAAATCTCATTACCTTCAAGGCCTGGAAGCTCAAGTGAATTGAGTGTGATTTCCTCAAGGAAAAAAAAACGAAATAGCTAAAGAAAGAATTATTTTGAAAACAAGCTAAATTTTTGGGTTATGAAAATGTGGGATACTAATACAAGGGAATACAGTTCATGGAAATTCATGGTCATGAAATATTACAAACCACTCATTGTCATGCCCAGTTGTTCAAAGCTGGGTTAAGATAACCCAGGGTTAGTGTGAAATTTGATTCCAGATCTGGAAGCTTTGAAAAAAGTTGGGTTAATCCCACTTGTCTACAATTTGATGATTGAATACACTAAAAAGAATTTGGAAGACTTATCTCAAAACAGCTTTTGAACAAAGAAATTTAGAAACCTGAATTAAAGTTTAACCCTGTGTTAGCACCATTTGGTCATCAAAAAACCAGGTCCAGGTCTTTTGTAGAATGTTACACTGTCTTTGGGTGTGGTCATTCAGTGTTGAATATAATGATGTGATTTTTATGAACTTCTGACTCAGTATTAATGAGATGATGTAAATGTTAATTAGTGGGGATGGTGAGGTAGACATACACACTACTCAATTACTCTCTTTAACCCTTTACATCCTAACATCAGTGTTTATATTCTCCATACTGGTCTCTGTACATTTATCAAGGGGCTGACAAGGAGAATTTATTTTGTTTAACAATACAGAGCTTCCCTAGTTGGTGATCATTTCCTTTACTCTTATGACATTAACGTTTGATTCAGGGGTGATATTGTAAGGAGAAATTAGATGCTAGTCACTTTTAGGGGTTAAAGGGTTAACTAATGATGACAACTGGAATCCAGAGCCTACAGGGCCAGTTATTTACACAAGGTCTAACCTAAACCGCCGTTTTATGCAAGCAGTTGGCCTTACGTATCCTCCCCAAGAGGGTTGTTTCCATTAAATACATGTCCTTCTACTGCTAATTTTTGGCTCCCTTTACTCTGTTCACAAAAATAAATGTTCAGGTTAAAGATTCAGCTAAATTCAAGATAGTTTAGAACGCGGTGTTGTTAAACAAGGGCTAAAGTTTGTTTAAATAACCGGCCCATAATGTCCATCATCGTGGGTTACACTTGAAAAATTAGTGGATTGCATGATATCTCTAAATAGGTTATCACTCACGACTAAGGGCAATCCCTCTTTGTCAGAGAAGTTCGGTTGTGCGAGTAATAAAAAATATTCGATTTATGGGAAAAACATTTACACGTTGTAATACAAATGTAAATTCCATGTTCTGTGAGGTCATGTTTAATATAAATTATGAGATCCCTGTTTATGGGAAAGATTTTGTAAATTGAGATTATAAGAAATTGTATATTGAGAGTTTGTAAATAGTGGCATATTTTATACATTAAAATTTGTTTGCATCAAAGATTTCTCTGCATTTACAGTATATGTTGATAGTTCCTAACAGAGACGAGGGACTGTTCGATCAGCATAGGGGTTGGTTTCTTTAAGGCGTCATCTCTTACACAGCGCGACTTCGTGTGCCTTCTGTTTCTTCCTCATAAATAATCCTTTTTTTGTTAACCTATTTACTCCTAGGATAGCCTGAATATCAGGCTTTCCAACGGAGGTGGAGGTTGGGGAGAGAAAAAGAAAGAAAGCATTTCTAAGGGACCTCGCTCGGCCCTTAGTCCCCTACTCCCCCTTCCAGCCTTTCTAAGGGACCTCGCTCGGCCCTAGTCCCCCTTCCTTTGGAAATCCTGATACTCGGGTCATACCCATGAATGATCGGTCATCAATTCTCAATAAAGTTTAGATACGCAGGTCGTTATAATTTACATGCTAACTCTTAGACAGTATATGAAGAGTTCCACTGAAGTGAAGGGCATTTAGGCTTCGTGGAATATATACGATGTAAAGAAGTAGAACAAATTCAGGAGACGTACACACAAAGAAGTGATGTCATCAAATGGGAGAAAAAACCAATAGGTCTTGGCTATTTAAGGCCGAAATAGTAGATCCTATAGGATAGACGTCATTTTTAGGCGTTTTTCAGAATCGAGGAGGCAAGCGTGATGCGAGCGTCTCGTGCGAGACGCGCGCGGGAAGGTGTACATGATAGTGCGACTCGCGACTCACTTTCCTCTGCTCGCTTATAAAACGTGGAAAAGAGAAAGAAACAAGGCGCCTGTCGCTCAGGCTCGTTGATGTCGAGTTTGTATATCCATTACCAAACAATTTCGCTTGTAAATGTCCTGTTCCTTCCAGCTCTTTTGAAAGCGTTTCCTTAACCACCTATATCCCCTGAGGGTGACTGGCTTCTAATATCTCCTTATTTTATCAACCTTAAGTCAAATGTAAAGGTCATGAGAATAAAGGAAATGATCACCGATTTAAGAAGCTCCTGGTTGTCAAACAATGTAATTCGCTTTGTAAGCACCACACTGAGGAAAGTTAGAGAGAGCAGCATGGAGATAGGGAACACTGACGTTAGTGAAAAGGGTTGAACATTCTATTTTCTAATTATTCATTTGCATTCGCGTTCCGTTTTGTTTAACAATCCCTCTTTCCAATTTCATCAACTTTTTTCTCCATCTATCTTCTTTACACCCATTTTTTGATATTTTTCGCTTCGCTTTTCGTGTCTTTGTTGCTGCTGTTTTAACTTCATTGACGCGCTCACTTATTTTGGTCGACCTCGGTAGTCTGAGTGAGTTTTTCTTTCCCTCTTAGGGCACAAATCTTTTTTGTTTTTTAAACAACAACATCAATCTTTATTGTATTTTTAAAACAAAAGTTGCAGCTAATCTGGCCCGCAGTTAGCTTGTGCTTATCTAAGCGGGCCAGTCTTCAAACGCTAATAAGATCTGATCAGAGAACATTTATAATAACAGAATTAAATTATAGAAAAATTATTGTTGTTAGTTGTAAAACAAAAAAATATTTTTCATTGCTTGTATTGTAACACGTGTCTTGTTTTCTTTTTCAGTTTTAATGTTAATTGCTTTTACCTTTCGCAGTTCCTGATTGGTTGAGGAAAAAAAATCGACAACTCTGTGAGGTATTTGTCAGTGATTGGTTCAAAAACCCTGATCCATATTCATAACAAACCACGAGCTTGCCTGCATGTCAATCAGTCTTTCGACACGGAAAGCCGTTCTTCTGAAGCTGGCCAAATTGGTGCCTTTTGCAAGAGGTTTGGGAAATTATGGTCGATAATTCAACTTAAGGTGAGTATAGCTTTCTGAAAATAGTGCGTATTTAATGGCTGTTGCTCTTTTTGCTAAAAAAAGACGAATTCAATCGCCAAAATTCTTGGAAGTTAACTCCACGTGCTGATTCGATTGGAGTGTTTCTTCGACTAACGTTTAGATTTCATTGCGGAATTAGCTAACACAGCAAACACGAATAATGGCGTATTTCTCATTTTATATTTCTGACCCCAATTCTATCACAATTTGATAAGGCGGCCGCGTTTTTTGCTTTGATAAAACCAGTGCGCACACGTCACAAAAATTTCAGCATTTTGACATTAGCTTCATGAATTTTGATTTAGTTTTTGTTACACGCTGGTTTTAACCTCTGACCGTTATTGATGTAAACATCGTTTTACATTTTTTTTCTCAGGAAAACAATTAAATTCATATCGAAGAAGGAGGGAGAAGGTCTTTAACAAGATACAAGAAAACAGTGTGGATGGAGTTACTGGATCAGGAGAGATTAAAAAGCAAAGATAAGAAACTTAAATTGGTTTGATACGTTAGTATGAATATTCTCCGAAAAATTGTGGCTGACTCAATTTCGTACATTTACGAACTATTTTGTCTCGAGAAAACTTACACGCTAGCAGAAATCTGGAGAATTTTGAGTTAGGTAAACCTGCAGCCAAGTTTTTCGGAGTAGTATTTAACTGGTAGTAACTGTTATGGAAACTGTCTCCTTTCGCCGATGGAGTTAGCTGAAAATCTTAAAAGGCTTACGGCTCTAAGTCTTTTCCCTAAGGTTAGACCTGCGTAGGAGAGCGAAATACAAATTTGTTGTAATTGAAACGACACGAAAGCTCTGATTTTGTTTTTTGTTTTTTTACATGTTTCCATAACAATCCGTTAGCAGTGAATAATGTTTATAGAACTATAAGTCATGGGCAAACTGAATGATATTTAAGGTGGCATTGTAAATTTAATATCTTAGTTTTATCCAGAAAGCAAAAAATACGGCGATTTGGAACTTTCCTTGATTTTTCCTGGCATTCAGTAAGTATGCGGTTTGGCAGGCTGACGCAATGAACAGAAACGAACGACAAGAAAAATTAATTGAACATCATCGACTCACAAATCACACTCGCATGTCCAGAAATCATTTTCAACGAATATCTGCGGAGAGCTGATTAGCAACTTAGAAAAATCTCATTTGAAAAGATCTCTACAACTACGGCACCTTACAAGCGACTTTTTCAATTAATTGGGACTCTTTTCAAACTTTAACCCACGTTACCAGACTTTAGTAGCAGACGGCAAAAGAAATCTTAAGACAGAATAGTTTGGAAAGATCTCTGCAAACAAAGACTGCACTCTAGGAGGGTACTCGCGACATAAGAACTATCAGACAAACCTAATGTACCAACAACTTGCTTGACGAAATCGAACCATCACAACTAACGCGCTCCAATCAAATCTACAACTGAAGCACCTAACAAGCAACATAATTTAAATATTGAAATAGAGCGCTTTTCAATGGAGCCGTAAAACCAAAACCAAACCAATCACAACGACGTAAAATACCTTTAAAAGCACATGAAAACTCGAAGTAAAAACAGCCAAACTGCCTAAAGCGCGGGAAAACGCGAGCCACCAAATCGTTATTGGTGTCAGTTTTTCATCTGATTGGTTAAGAGAATGGTGCGAGTTTTCTGGACCAATCACAGAGCGCGGTCAAGCAAAAGAAATGCTATGTCTGGTTATTTTCGACACCCAATTGAAAATTATTCTATTCGACAGACCAAACAATTTGACTTAAACTTACTGACGGATCGAAGTTAGCAATCTTAAGTTTAGTCTACGACTGCCGACTCAAAGGCGAGGTATTTAAAAACGGTGGCTGACAAACCACCCACTTTATCCAACCAACATATCTCATTCAAATTCCTAATCACCCCAGGAACTGCAGCAAAACTAGCCACCTAGCTAGACTGACACTTAAAAAGTGATAAACAACTCTTTCTAGCTCAGATGATGATCAGCAATGATTTTTACCCATGCCAATCAAAGCACAATACAACACAGCCAAAGTATGAAGTTTACTTTGTAGTGCCACCTTAAAAAACTGAATGTTTTTTTCATGACTTTAATGCTAAATGACTTGAGAACAAGGGCGGGCTCACCATTAACTTTTATCGTAAATATGTTGATTGTAATCATCCCGTGATTGCCAGTGGAGAGGACGAACTTGCAGGCGAGGTAAGAACGTAGATCTTTCAAGGAGGCCATGTTCTCTTGTCATTGTAAGTGGCTCGAGGAAGGAAACAGTGTCTGGTTCAGAGAACGAGTATTTTCAAAAGCGTTGTACCGATATTACTCAATTATGGAGATACAATTACAAAAGGAGAAACTAATTTAAATCAGGCTTGTTAAAGGAAAGAAAACTTTTGGCAAATTAGGTTAGAGACGAACAAAGTCACAACAAACTCTCTCAGTCCGTTAATTTTACACTAAATTAACAACAAAACAAGAACCGAGAAACGAATAAAACGCTCCGGTTGCACTAAGTGGCTATAATCAGACATCGTCTTCCTTCTCATGCCCTATCTTAGCTTTGATGTAATGACCTTTTTTCAGCCGGAAAGCAAGAGAAACACAAAAACGAAAAAAATCGTCAGGGCTAAAAGTTTAGGCGAGCAATTCGTCTGATTTCATCAAATTGAGATCGCCTTTGAAGATAAATCAATTAGTAATTAGCTTGTCAAGATCGCGCCACAAAAACATATATGGCTAAAACTCAAAGTAAAGACAACTGTCTTGGTTTATAACAAATTGTTAAAGCAACAAGAGGTCGCTTGTTTTGGCCACGCAATAAAAAAGGACTCGTCAGAACTTGAGATAAAACGTGATGAGGACATTTGTCTCAGAAGTTAAACAAAGAGTAGTAGAACCATTTGGTTAGGCAACATTTTCAAAGGTTTCTGCCTGTTTCTCTTGCTCTGGCTAACACAGGTCTTGAAAAGTATGGCAATGTATAAATTGTCTCCAAAATAAGGATTATTTTTTGTTGGTAAATCCGTCAAACATAACAGGGGGTCTTGTGTTTGTATACGATGAAACCAGACTACAATGCTGTTTGATCTCGCTAGCGTTTGATTGCTAAGAATGTCGATTATTGGCTAATTAAAGTG